GCAAGTCAAGCTGTTTAAGATTTTGAAAAATCTTTGGCTTGAGCATAGAAGTCGAATGGATCAGGATACCCTAGTTCGGCCATGTATTGTGCATTTATTTTGGGGATTAAATGTTAATTTCACATCATAATGGCCTACCTAGCATGGATTGGGTATTTGTATCAGTTCAAATTGTCTATGAGGTGTCCACCTTAATTGTTATGAGTAGAAAAAAAGACATATACCTTTGTGTGAGATAGTCGATTTTTAGCACGGATTGGGACTCTTAGATTTGGTCACATTTAAACAAAACACCGTAAACAAATTGTTTGTGTTCACATTTCACTATTTTTTTTATGACATGGAACCTGCAGACACTATTCTTCGAGTGCGCTCTGGTAAACCTCCAGTCGAAGCATTTCACTAATTTTGAAGTTTTATTCAGTAGCTGTTAGTCATCATACAAACTATGGAAATGTGTGGGACAAATTAATTCTCATAGTTCCGTTATTGATTTTGGTGAAAAAAAATTATATCTTTGACACCTCATATTATGCGTTATCATGCATCGTGTTTTTAATCCAGCTTTCGTCGCACATTCCGCGATAGACATGAGTGAAGCTATTTTTCAGCATGTTGAAAAACAGCCTGCATAATTTACATGTTTTATTATTATATACTCCCTCCATCTTACTTTAAGGGTCCCATTTACTTTGTATTTAACACTAAAAATATCTTTATATTTGTATAATTTTTTTATACAAATATCATTATAATAGTATTATAAAAACAGTAATAGAAGAATTTGTATCATTTTCCCTTAAACGAGACTCTTGACACTCTGTTTGATTCAAATAAAGGTAGGGGAGGGGAGATATTTTATTTGAAGAGAGGGGAGTGGAGAAAATATTAAAATTGTAATAGTGTTTTTGGTTCATATGGAAAGGAAGAGAGGGAGGTAAGGGTAAATAATATTTTTGTGTTTGGTTAAATAAGAGAGGGTAGGGAAAATATAATAATTTCACTTTTTTATCATGTATTGTATTAAAAAAAAAAAAGAAAGAAAGAATAAAAAAGAAAAAGAAAAGTATTTAATAAAATTTTATTAATTTATTAATAAAATATCAATTTTGATAAAAAAAATTAAAGTAGCTTTTTTTCAAAATAAATATATATATACTTATATCATTTAAATAAAATATAAATAAAAATAAAATTATATATAAAAAAATTGAATCATTTAATACTAAAATAATCATTCTAATATAAAATTTTTATTTATCTAGAATAAATTACAAAGATAAATATCGTTTATAATGTTAAATAAATATAATAGATATGAATTTATTTTATTAATTAAAACCTAACTTTTAAGGGTTTAATTAAATATAAAATTAATTTAATTTAATTTAATTTATATAAAATTTTGTTTTATAATTTAATTATATTATAAAATTTAAAAATATTATAACTAACTATTAGTTATAATATACTGTATAATATAATTTATGTACAATTAGATACAAATAAAATAATATGTAATTTTAAGGATATAATAGTAATTTTATAAAATAAAAACATGAACATCTTTCCCTTTTCTCCAAATTCCTCCGACTTTGAAGGAAACAAAGGTAACTTCATTTTATATTCGTTCCCTTCCCTTACCTTCCCCTCCTCTTTAAAAAGAATTGAACCAAAGGTAATTGTAATTTTTCTTATTCCCTCGCCTCCCTTCCCCTCCAAATTCCTCAAACCGAACAGACCATTCGAGACCGATGAAGGTAGTATTTTTTTTTTTTTTTTTTTCCAAAAGAAAGGTCGGAAAAACAGTTCTCATTCACTTGTGGAGGACAGAAATCAAAACCATCAATAATAGAAAATGTGAGTAATATTTGTTTTTGAAATAATAAATAGCAATACCTCAATAATCGAGAGAGTTGGGAGCACAGACTGCTACGAAGGAGGACTCCGGCACACAGAGAGAGAGAGAGCAAAAGAACTCACTTGGAGAAGTTGAAACCAGTCGAGTTTGTTGTTTGAGAAGTGTTCAATTAACTTATAATTGTTGTCTGTGTTGATGCTCTACAACTTCACTATAGATCGAGCAAGACAAACAATATGGCAAACTGAAGAAATAATATATATATTGTCACTTGGAGGAGAAGATGAAAAAGAAGAGGAAAAAGATATTCTGCTTTTGCTGAAGAGAATAAGATTTGCAGCTACCCTTGAAAAGTATTAGCACCCAAACTGAATTAGAAGTCGATCAATTGCTGCTTTTGGAAATTTTAGATAGAAAAAAATATGAAAAGCATGTTTGAATACAACAACCTTTTGGCTTAATGTGTCAACAAAATACTGAAATAATTTATTGATTAGGTAATTGCGAAAAGAAATCTAGCTAGGTACACAATTTCAATCCAACAATTTTATATATGTGTGTATATGTATTTAAAATATCAAGTGGTTGAATATTCACACGTAACAAACATATTATCCTGATTGATTATTGCAATCAGTCCTAATTTCGTCATTAATGGTCATAGGAAAAATTATCATTGTGTTTTGTTGTATTGTATTACAAATTTTTTATCACTAAATATTGTATGGGCTGATTGTCAAAATCAAATTGAAGCCGCGAGCCTAAAAAAATACGAACCCGTTGAGCTGAGAATTTTAAAAGTTGAAGCATGCTTTTTATGAAATCTTATCGACTCGAACTCGAAATGAAAAATTAGCATGAAGTTTGTTTTCGAGTTTTTTTTATTTTTTTGTTATATATATATATATATATATATATCTACGATGATAACTAGCATGTTAGAATATACCTTCACTAATCTCATAAATATTTGGTTGGGTTTGCATCATGTGCTGAAATCATATTTTAGAGATCGGGTAGGCCTAATACATGTTGCTAAGTGTCAGCATGTGTAAATACTTTCTCCTTTACTTCACTTACAAATTTTAATTGTATACATAATTGTATATTTATAATTTATGTAAAAATAAAATATATTTTTGTATTAATATGTGATTACTTTTATTATAATAAAAAATAAGATATCTTTGAATGTAACTGACATAAATTGTAAATATATATTAGTTAAGACGGATAATATTAATTATTACATTTATTTGGCCCACAGGCTAATCCATTCTCAACCTATGACCTGTCGTGGGTTGACTCGTTTAGGTTTATATTTTAACGGGATTAAAAGTGAGGTGGGACAAGCCTGAGACACTCAACTCATTTTGACTGCTTTAGTAATTTTTGACAAACTCTACTTTTAATTATTACTCTATGTTCAACAATTATTTTTAACTAATATCATTATATTTATTACATTTTCTTTTTATATTTAATTTTTTATTTTTTAATTTATAACTAAATTTTCAAAAATACTATGAATTAGCTTTTTAATAAAAATATTTATTTTTAACCATGACTTTGGGAAGCATCATAGCTAGGTACTTCCCAAGTCATGACTTTGGGAAGCTGCGGTTGATCCGGTGATGGAAATGCACGCAGCCGGAGCAGTTTATTATATTTGCTCAATGTTTATCCTATGTCCATGATGCTACTCGACATAGATGTGTGAAACGAGTGCAAGAACACAATAAAAGGCTTTGAAATTCTTATGGAAGTTGATCAATGGCCTGATTGCTCATTTGTTCACACGATAAATGATGATTAGGAAGGCAGAGGATCCGTAAATTTTGTAGCTCACTTACATATTCCGGATCCAGTTCAACCTGTCTACTTGATAGGAAGGCAGAGACATCCTCCCAGCGGCCTCTATCAGACTATCAAGGCGAAGAAGAATGAAATTTCATTAGTATAAACTAAATTAGGAATTTAAAATTTGGTATTAATTGAATTAGGATTTGGGGGGAAAAAAAATTTGAAAATTGGGAATGGATTTTGTGCTAGGGAATTATGATAACTACTCAGGGTCTACGACCACAAAATTTCTATATCCGATCACTTTTATATAAATTTCCACTCGCTGATTTTCGAATATATCCCTGTGACTTGTGTAAACACACACACGCACATTTTTAGTTATCATTGCCTTATCCAAATTAAAGTGTTCTTCATCTCGTGGACATTCTTGGCCGAGTTTGGGCTATTCACTCCGGCCTATCTAGTTCTTCGTGAGAGAAATAATAGTAGAAAAAGTATGAATTTTGCAAGGGATTTTTTTCTTTTCTTAATTTCTCTAGTAAAAACTGAATTGTTCAAGTTCTCTCACAAAAATATTTGTGACCGCTTGCTAGGGATACAAAACCGGTCACAAATTCCCTCACAAATGACTTATTTGCAAGGGAATTATCCCACACAATTTTGTATTTTTCTTTTCTATAGTGATTAAGATTCATAAAAAAGTAAAAATATGCATGTTTTTCAATATTTAAATATCTAACCTATAGATTTTCTTCTAACATATTGAAATTTAAGATTAATTGTTAGGCACTTTGTTTAGTCATTCTTTTAGTTGTTTTAGAATTTAACTACAATTTACAATAATATATATATATATATTCATCTCACATTATATATGTTCAAAATATTATACTCTCATCATCTGCCAATTTTATATCCATTTCATATGTAAATTACAAAGTGCACATGAAATTGTCTGACGTACAAATGAAATGGGTATAAAATATAAAATTGGCGGATGAAGGGTGTATAAACAAACACTTCAAATTGATCTAAAATGACATGAACACTTACTTAATCCCATAAAAATAATGCCATAAAGTTGGTGGAATTAATCTTTAATGTTCTCTACCTAACCACTTGCAATTTTCTATACTCGTGTTTGTTATTGAAGGAAATTTTTTATTTGCATTCAATCAAAGTGTTAGAATTAAAGGTACAATAATGACTCAGCATGATAACACAATAAAATAAATTATTCAGGTTGGAATTTGGCCTTTCTTTCTTTTCACACTATACCTAACAAATCAAACATTTTGTTATTTGTAAATAAAGATTCCTTGGACATATTAAGCTCAAAGCTTATAGAATTAAAAAAAAGAATATTGTTCTTATTTCTTCATATTGCAAGTGAACCAGCGACTGTTTCTTCAATGTTTTTGCCAAAATCTTTCTGCAGTAGCTTAGAATTTCATTGTTTTCAGCTGCCTGAAAGCTGAATATTTCGGACCATTTGAGAGATGGCTGTTGCTGCTTATGCATCATTGGTTTCTCTTACTCATGTACTTGATAATGTTCATTACCGTGCAAATCATAGTCGCCTTCATGTGGATCTAAAACAGATTAAATCCATCCAGAAAGGTGTCAACTTCTTGTTGGATTTCCTTGAAGTTCACTATGGAAGAAAAGACCAGAAGATAGAAGTTTTGTGGAGGCAAATAGCTGAAACTGGTTTTGAGTTGGAAGAAGTTTTCGACTTATATGTCACAGGTCAACTTCAGGTGCCATTTTCTGAAGAAAGTAGTGACATGGGAAGCAAAGCTTTCCACGACGATCTAGAGAGGTTGGCTCAGAAGATTAAAGACATCGAGAGAGAACTATCAATTGTTGAAAAGGTAGTAGAGGACGCCCAACTCGGTAAACAAACCAGATCTTCTGTTGTTGATGGTGTATCTTCAACTCCAGCTTCTTCACGTGTCAAGAATAAATTAGTTGGATTAGATGAACATGTCGGTAGGATAATGAATGCACTGACTAAAGATGAAGCCAATCTCAAAATACTACCTATTGTGGGGATGGGTGGTATTGGTAAGACTACTCTAGCTAAAAAAGTGTTTGATGATAAATGTATGGTTGAACACTTCGATGTTCGCCTTTGGCTTTCAATATCTCAGGACTATTGCGTTGACGACATCCTTCATGGCCTTATCAATGAAGGCAAAGTTGAAAAAAGTAATGCACAATTAGATGGGCCTGGAGAAGCATTACATAAAAAGTTATTTGGGAGAAGATATTTGATTGTAATGGATGACATGTGGACTACAGGAGCTTGGGATGATTTAAGGAGGTTTTTTCCAAATAATGGGAATAAAAGTCGGATCTTGATGACCACGAGGTTATCAAATGTGGCTACTTGTTTGTGCTCTCGTGAACCTTATGTGATGACATTTCTAGACGATAATAGTAGTTGGAATTTATTTTGTCAAACCGTTTTTCAAGAAGATGATTGTCCATTTCCGGAATTGGAGCAAGTTGGAAGGAAGATTGTGAGAAGTTGCAAAGGACTTCCTTTGGAGATTACTGTTATTGGAGGACTACTTGCAAATTCCGACATGAGGAAAGAGTCTTGGGAGCCTATTGCGGCAAATGTGAGTTCATTTGGTAATGCAAGTGAGAGCGAGCATTGTTCAAAGATATTACTTTTGAGCTATAATAATTTGCCTTTGTATCTTAAGCCATGCTTCCTCTATATGAGAGTTTTCCGTGAAGATGCTGAAATTAATGTCTACAAGTTAGTGAGATTGTGGGTTGACGAAGGTTTCATTAAAGCAAGAGAAACAGAAAGCTTGGAAGAGGTTGCCAAAGGGTACTTGGAAGATCTTGTTGATAGAAATCTAATCATTGCTCGTGAAAAGGATTTTTTGAGGGAGAGAATACTAAGTTGTGGCATCCACGACCTTTTGCGAGACCTATGCTTGACAGAATCTTACAAAGAGCATTTTATGTGCTCTCCAAGAGTACAAGTAGTAGTGAAGGGGGGAAGTGTGTGTTTTCTATGTGGAAGTTGTGTCAAAGGCAAAGAAACCATAAATATTCCGATACCTGCATCACTTTTTCCTCCAGGTTCTCAAGGGAATCTTCTTTTTTGTGGTGTCTGTGCTGTGATTTATTCGCATATTAAGGGACTAAGAATGGTCATGGTCCTGTATTCATTTCTGCAACACACTAAATTACGCAGTGTGAATGTTGAAGTGTATAGGCTTCCGAAATTTGTGTCTCCTCCAAATGTACATTGGCTATGGAACCTTCAAACGTTGTCATTTTGGCACTTAAGTGATTCAAGTGTCGTATATTTACCATCTGAAATCTGGGATATGCCGCAACTTAGAGTTATTGAAGCCAAACGTGTGGTGTTTCCTAATCCTCCAACTTCTCATGTTGAAGAGAAGGATATCTTTGTCCTGAAAAGCCTGCATACCCTTACTACTGTTTTGAATTTTGAGCTTACAGATGCAATTCTTGGTGGTATCCCTAACATGAGGGAATTAGGAATAAGGTATAATGAGGTTATGAAAGGGTCGAATGCTTGTCTTGGTAATCTTGTCGGATTGCAGAAACTCGAATCACTATATGTCAAAGGTGCTGTGCAATTGCAAAACATTGCATTTCCAAATTCACTAAAAATGCTGATTCTGAGGAGGTGCAGTAGATTTCAATGGAAATCTCTGTCTACTATTGGATCATTACCCAATCTTGAAAATCTTATGTTGTGGGATACTACAGAAGGGCCCGAATGGGATCCCACGGAAGGGGAGTTTCTTCGATTAAAAGTATTGATCATAGTGGATTGTGATCTAGTGCAATGGAGAGCTGATCAAAGCCACTACCCTAAACTCGAGTATCTTGAACTTAAGAACTTAAGTTCATTGGAGGAAATTCCTTGTAATATTGGAGATATACCAACGTTGCATACAATTCATCTGAAAGAGTGTTGCAAGTCTGTTATGGATTCGGCATACAAACTATGGGAGGAACAAGAAAGCTTGGGAAATGATAGCTTAAAGGTTCTGGTTCAGGAGGGTGTAGTAGATTACTCAATCTATGAATTCATGGCACTACCCCTCAAAGACGATGGCAGTAGCACTTAATTAAGGTATGTTCGAGGAACAAATTAATATCTAATTTTGTTGTAGTCATGCATATGATGTTTATCATTTACATTACAATCATGGTATGGTGCTGAATTCAGCTACACCATAATTTTATCATGACTATTAGATAGAAATATAGATGAACTAATCAGATTTAAGAAATGGGTAAAAACATCAACTTGTAATAAGTTTAATTTAGTCAAGGAAGAGTATTAAGGAAGTGTATCTATACATACAAACCAAATATTTCTTTCACAAAATAATTATTTTATAAGGTCATTCTTTTCCCTTGAGAAATCACACAAACGAAAAATAAAAATAAAAATCTAATTTGAAAGTAAATGTGTTTTTTTTTTTTATTTAGCAATTTAAAAATCTAATTACATCATTTTTCAAATTTGTCTATTCCTCTTTCAGCATACTATAATTCTTTCTTTTATAGAAGATTGAAAAATATTTTTGAAATTGTTGTAGTAACGAAACTTATAACATAAGAGGAGCCCCTTTTCTGCTAAAAAACTGCTAAATTAACCCAATCTACACACACAGAAAAAAAAAAAAATGATTTGGTAATTTAATTAATTTTTTTGTTTTTTTTCATAATTATTTTTAAATTTGAGACATAGTTGATTTTGTCAAGTATAATTGCACAAATCTTTGAAGTGAATTTCATACTTTCTGAAAATTATAATTTAGTCAATTGTAATTAGAGTCATGAATTGGTGCTCATAATTTAGAATGTAATTTAGTAAATTATAACTGCATAAGCTCTCGACTCATAATTAGTAATAATAGTAATATAGTCAGTTGTACTTACATAAATCAAGAAGGATAAATTAGGTGTAATAATCAAGTCAAAGTTTCATTTTTTTTTCTCAAAATAATAAATCTAATCTAACCCAAAAAAATTTTCCTCACTATATTGTGTTCAATGGGGATTGGACCCAAACCCTTTAGGATGTGAATAAAGAGGCTCAGCCGAATGGTTAACTTGTATGGTGTGTGAATGACAAAATTTTAATATACATTGAATATCATATTAGAATGTTGGAAAGACCATATAATATACAATATGATATTTTCTAAATTGTATAGGTTATCATGATTGCATGATTTCAAAGTTCTCAAATATTAATGATGCCTACATATCATACTTGCAGCACACTAATAATTGAGTAATTTCCATATGTAAAGGTAGAAATTGATCCCCAACTTGCAGTTTTATTATTATTTTTTTTTGGATGACGTGGGAACCCGCAGTTGTTACCCGAGAGTGCGCACTAGGTAAACCCCCAGCCGAACCTAATACTTTGCAAACCAGGCCTGACGGAAAAGTAACATTAGACGAACCATGTGTGACAGGTGACCTGAAGCGTCGAGGCAGTATTATTAATTTTTATTGGAATGTAAATGTGACTTTAAGCTTCAATATTTTTTATTACGCAAGAACACCCCATCATACTGGATTGTATCAAACTTGTTGAACTCGTCCTGAATCTCATAAGTCGTCGCAGTAGAATGTAAGTGCCTCGCATAGACATAGTTTGGTTCCCTAGCAAAAATAATTGTTGACACATCAAAATTTACAAAGCCATATATATATATATATATATATTGCACGATAAATAATCATTGTAACTAGCTATTTAGAATTTATGTAAGGACATGAAATGAATAAGTAAAAGGATACAAAACTTTGGGGAATGGGAATATTAGCTTAATTAAAGTTCCAACTGGCCTCTAGCAGCAATGTCGGAGAAGGTTAAGTGTGGTGGGTTCTTCGCAATTGGCATGGACAACTCTTCGGACCTTGACGACAGAGTTTTATAGTTATTATTAGTATTTTTTTTTTTTAGGAAAAGAGTTAAAAACAAATAGCTGAGTTGTTATTTTTAACTAAGCAAAAATGTTATGAATATTGGTTGGTTGCGAGTGCTATGTATGCACCTGTGACAGATTTACCATTTTCTGGTATGAAATTGCAGCCTTTTTTCGTGAAGTATTTGTCGAAAGACCTAAATGTTGCTTAGCACGGATGTGCCAACCATGGTTTTTACCACCCAATTAGTTTTATTTGTTGTCATTTGACCTAAATGTTGCCTAATGATTGTTTAGCACTTTCGCTCTTATGGCTTCAATCTTGTTTCATTCATTTTTTACCTTTTTGTTTTTTCACCTCAAACACTGCACACATAGTTAACAAGAACACATCTGAGAAAAAAGAAATGACTTGATAAATTAAAGTGTATAATCACTGCATATTTGATGTATGACATTTTAGATGTTCTTGACACTAATTAAGAATCTACTATATAATTATATAATCATTGAGCACACTAATTGGTTCAAGTATTCTTCAAGGAATGTCTCTGAAGTTTTCGGAACTCTTGACGGGACACTTTTAAAGAAAGTTTGTTCTTGGACCATCAATCTCTTCCACCTATTTGTTGTTTTGAGTTTAACTCTAACTATTATTTTAGAAATATATATATAATTAAATGATTTAATTCTCTTTTATATATTATTATTATTATTATTATTATTATTATTATTATTATTTTCGAGATTTGTAGGAGTTGGAGTTGGTGGTAGTTGTGCAATGAAGATATTGGTCTAATATTTTAAACTTTCAATCAATACATGTTTGGGAAGTACAATACTTTATTTATCTGTGATTTCATAGTTAATTTTAATCTCATTTATTCTCTTGTTGGATTTCGTGAAATTTTTGAGGTATTTAATTGAAAGTTGTTGAAGAGATGATGACATATTGTATAAATATATAATATATTAAATATAGGAGTTTCTTTGATAAATTTTATAATTACTTTTTTTATAATTTTTTTTATCCGAATTTCCTTCTTTTTTCTTATTGGAAAACTGTAAAATGGATTAAAGTGAGTTAAACTCACCGATAGAGTTGGCCTGATAATTTTATTCTTCGTATCTGTGCGTTTTCAGTTTTCACCAATAATTTTGTCCCACTTTTTGTTCTAATCTTAACTTTTCTTTTTAGTTGGGACCTCAACCAAGTCCAAATGAAATTCACTAATTTTCAAGTTCCGGACCAACTAGTTTTATATATATATATATTAATTTATCTTTTTTCTTTACAAGATTTATTTATTTAATATTATTGAAAATTTGGAGTGAGACGTGACCAAACATGAAGGCAACAGACTTCAATATGGATTTATTTCCTCGAGTGAACCTAAATAACAATGCCAAAAACTTGATATTTATATTTTTATTATAATTTATTGCAAGTGTACACATTGCAAGTTGAATCTACTGGGAATTAAAATGTATTCATTCACATAGTAGAAACTTTATGTCAATTAATTATAGATTAAATCAATGTTGTAAGATGGAAAAATATCGAATTGACAACTATAAGTCCTAAATTAAATAAAATTAAATATAAGTAAATAAATCTATAAAATCAAAGATTACACAACCTCCTAAATTAGAATGAAATAATTTAATTATTTGCTTGTATTTCTTTGACTAATTTCAATTGTCAGTGCTTTTGTATCTCCCATAAATGGTACTACTTAAACCATAATCAAGATTTTATCTCTAACAATATGCCAAATAAAATTATGAATTTGATCCAATTAATTTGATTATTGGTAAAAACATCAACTTGTAATGAGTTTAATTTTGTCAAGGAAGTGTATCTAAACATACAAATCAAATAATTCTTTCAGAAAATAATTATTTTGAAAGGTCATTCTTTTTTCTTACGAAATCACTCAAACTAAAAAAAATATAAATCTTTCAAAGTAAAATCTTCAACGCTACAAATCATACTGGAGAACTATCTCTGAAGTTCAAACCCCTGGGATTGAAGAATACATTATGGTTACTTCGAACCCCGTTAAGTGTATATTTTTTATTTGGAAAGTAAATTAGATTTTTTATTTAGCAATTTAAGAAGCTAATTATGTCGATTTCAAATTCGACTATTCCTCACTCAGCATACTATAATTCTTCTTTATAGAAGATTGAAAAATAATTTTCAAATTGCGTATTAAATAACTTATAATGTAAGATGAGCTCCTTTTTGTTTTGTTTGTTGAAAAATTGTAAAATTAACCCAATCTACATTAAAAAAAAAAGAAAAAAAAAAAAGGATGATTTGGTAATTAGTTAACAGTTTTTGTTTCTTTTTTCGTATAGTTATTTTGAAATTTCAGACATAACTGATTTAGTCAAATATAATTACACAAATTGTTATTAGAAAACGAGGAGGTTTTACGTGGTTCGGTGACGGTGTGTCAACCTACGTCCACGGGCAGGAATCAGAGAAATTTTATTATACTGATTTAGAGATTTACAATTACGTCATCCGACTAAGAATCATAGTTGTCTATTTATAAGCACCCTAAAACACCCTAAACCCTAAGCCTATATGTTATTAATTAGGATAAGACCAAAAGGAACCCTGCCAATTGCAACAACCCTTTCGCTTTGGTTTCGGGTCGTGTAGACCGTTAAATCTAAGTCACGTTTCAACAATCTCCACTTTGACTTGGAGTTTCTCCAACCGCCAAAAGGTTCGTCAGTATCTCTCAGTCGTCTCCTTCCTGCCAGATGCCCCGAGAGGGCTTTACCTCCTGCGAATATTCACCAAGTTCAAGCAGTGCTCAAACTTCTCCGTCGGTAGCGCCTTTGTCAACATATCAGCTGGATTGTGTTCTGTAGCTATTTTCTGAATAGAAAACTTATCTTCCTCCAGAACATCACGGATAAAATTCAACCTTACATCAATATGTTTGGTTCTCTCATGATACATTGAATTTTTAGCCAAACTCAAAGCACTTTGACTATCACAGAATAACACCGGTTTCTGCACCTTCAGACCCAAACTCTGCACCAGACCATGTAACCAGATACCCTTCTTAATACCTTCAGTCATTGACATGTATTCCGCCTCAGTCGTCGACAGTGCAACCGTAGGTTGTAAAGTAAACTTCCAACTGACTGCATATCAAACAGAGTGAAGATAAAACAAGTCAGTGATCTTCGTTTCACCAAGTCACCCCCATAATCAGACTCTGCATAGCCAACAAGACCATCACCATGGCCTTTATCATCATATACCAGATAAATATCAGACGCTCCTTTCAAATATCGCAAGATTCACTTTACAGCTCCCCAGTGAGCTTTACCCGGATTAGCCATAAACCTGCTCACCACACTAACCGCATAAGCGAGATCCGGTCTCGTACATACCATCACATACATAAGACTTCCAACTGTACTT